TTTTGATGAAGTGCTTTTTCCAAGAGTTTTTTAAATGGAGAATGGTAGTTATAAAATGTGAGCTGCAAAATGGACTTAAGATTTGAATCCTTCTTCACAATTTAAGATTTTTTACTCATAGTTAGATAAAGAGCAGTTAAAGCAAATCTTTCTAGAAATTATTGTACTTTATCGAACAGTGTTCTTTCTGTAATTTAAGAAACAACCTGCTTATGCATTTAGTAACTTCACATGATAATATCTGCAAATGATGATGTTATTGAGTTTGGTTTCTTCAAAAACTCTATATTGCTGCCAACTTAAAGCAAAGTATTTCCTGGTTTTACCATGAGCCCTTGTATATATCCTACAGACAGATCACAACATTCAACAGTGACATCATTTCACCTATCCTTCCTACTCTGTGATTCCCACAGGCCAGGTTATCTCCCAGAACTCCCTTTAAATTGTAACAAAGAAATTTTCCTCAAAACTGATGGTATAGAATAGTCCCCTGTAATTTTTCATGGTATTTATATAATCTCCCTGGTAGCACACTGTGTTATTATATGCTATAAATCATATTTTATTTTGGAAAGAACTGCTGGTGGTGTTATTTTTAGGTCCAAATCTACTTCTGCTGATATCCAATCCAGCTAAGAAAATAGCTGTAGGAACATTTAAAATTTCACATACAGTGTTGGGATGACATGCATATTATGAATGTTTTGGGAACAGCAGTACTATAGGAGTAAAAAATACACCAGTGACTAAAGAGAATGTGTCCTGAACATATACATAGCTGTGCTTTTACACTACTGAGAAATGAGAAAGGAGATTTACTTTTCCTAAGCACATTTCTGTGGCCTTTTTCAGGCCAAGTAAATTGCCACAAATTACATTTACATGACATTTCAACCTAGTTACAGTCAAATCCATTGGAAAATACAGTATCTGACACCAACAGGATTTCAAAGGTACCTTACATCACACAGAAGCCTGTAACTTCTATTTTTTTTCAAAGACCAAGAGTATACTTTTCTTTTACAGAGCTGTTATTACATAACCTAGAGTTGAATGCAGAAATGGGAAATTTAACCTTAGAAAAACTGCCTATTTTCTTTGCTTCATGCTTTAAAACGTTCATAACTGAGCAGTTAAAAATGGACCAGTAGAAAACGGTAGAACCTATCAAGTATTTTTACCAGGGTGCGAAGTCATTTAGTCAGTAAATAAAGGAAATTTGATCAACGAACCGGCAACGTGACATCTGGTGTGCAGTTTCACAGTCTTAGGGCATCATTCTGCTCTCTCTGGTACCAGCATGATTCAGGAGTAACTCATGTAAATTAAAAGCACACCCCAAAGTGGTGTGGAGTCAGGAGGAAGCACTCTCTGTTCCAGTCTGTGTCTTTCAGTGCTCCATATCTGACTTAAGAGATCGGCTCATTTACAGAGCCCTACATTAGACATATTGCCTTCTTGTTTTAAAATATGTGTGTTTAATATTTAATTTAACAGAATTCCATATTCCAGTCTCTGTGTACTGTGCAAGTCCCTTTGAGGCTCGTGGTTTTGTATGTGCAGTCACAACTCTCCTCAAGTGTAATTTGGAAGCACCATTGCCTAATGGAGTGAAAGGAAGTATCTGGCTCTGATTAATCCTGGTTCTCTTTGGAGTGAGTAATGAAAATAATGCCCAGCCAGTGTCAATTTGTAAAGTGGGCTGTAGGAGTTGAGCCAGGCTGTCCAAAACTCATTTAATTTATTATGTGTGTCTGTGGAATACTGGTGGACTTACAGGTCTCATCAATTGTCCACACACTTCAAGCACACACAGGCAATTTGAACTATCAACTTCAAATGACAGCACACTCCAAAATTTTGCCAACTCTGAAAAATTGGTTATAATGCTACACACATAGCTATTGCATGTGAGACTGAATAAGTATCATAAAATAGGTACTGTAAATGCAAAATGTGTCTGTGCTTATATTTTCACAGAAAGACAAAAATTATTTTTTACTGCGCTGTGCAATGAAATGCTGCATAGTATTTGCTGAGAGGAGAGACACATCAATAATATGCAGAAAAGTATTTAAATTTAAAAAATTTAAATTACACAATTTTAAAAAGTGCTCACAGATTTTGAACTTCTGATCTGTTGGGGCAAACCAAAGAAAATTTGAAGTTACCCAAGGCCAATAACAGCAGAATGAAAATAGCAGTTTAAATGGTACCTGGGTGGCCATATCAGCTCACTTGCAGGAGAGACTATTTTCAAGAACATTTGGCACATCTAGAATGTGGGATAGCTCTCTGAAGTAAAGAATATAAACATTAAAAGGTCAGAAATAGTGCAGCTAAGTTATCCATTTAAATGGGAATGAGAAACTTTGCCATTTGGCTCTGTACCATTTTGTCATTCTGCATCCTAATGACAATTACATGTCCCATACTGATATTTCACTTTCAATTTTCATAGAATTAGTGATAGTATTTCAGGAGTTAACAGAGGCAGAGTACTTTCTTTAGAGTAGATATGAAATTAGATCAGAAATTAGATTGCCTTGAAAACATTATATGCAGCAAAATGTGCACTCAGAAAGCCTTCAGGAGTAATCCTTTAGGCATGGCTTCTTGTGACTTGAGTTTTAGTTTTCTACAACAAAGAAAAAAAAAATAAACACAACAGTTCCAAAGATCTGTGGTGAGATTCTGTCATCTCCACGAGACACAGTTCAAAACCACAGAATCCAGAAGTGAAATTGTTTCAAACGCTTCCCCAGCCACACAATCACAGACTGCAGCAGGGGGGCTGTAAAATTCCCACGGAATGAACCCGAGGGGACCAGCAGCTGCATGGCATCTGGACAGATGTGCTGCAGCCTTCCCCTTCCATGTTATCCCTCCTCAGCCCCGTGCCCGGCGTGAGGACTGGAGAGTTTGTCCTCAGACAGCATCTCTAAACTCCCTTTCACCATGAGCTGCCAGGGGTATCGTCCCTTGGCCAGGAATAGAGCTTCTAAGGGCCTCTTTATGCCAATCTCATTCCTCTTATCTTACATAAGGGGCCAGGGCAGGGACAGAGCTCGCTTTCTTAGCTCTAAATCTATCCTATATGGCACGCAATTCTCCAAAGTACAGCCAGCTTCTGCTTTTATGAAGCACTGTGCAGTGAAGAATGAAGGATCCTGTTTTTCACCATTTAAAGATGTATGATAGCAACAAAGCTCTATGTTAAAATATTTAACTCTCAGAGAACTTATGGAAATTGTCTATTCAAGCTCAGCAAAGACATTAAATTACCAAGCTGTTCTAGGACAGTTGTGTGTGGAGAAAAGCCAGAAATGCTCTGAGATTGTAATGTTGCTCACAAAGATTACAGCATGAGCCTGATTCAGAAGCTTTTTTATACAGCTTGGTGAGCTGCAAAATGTTACCATATCAATTTCTGCAAAACATACTGTGTGTGTACATATAGATATAAAAGCAGGACTTATACATAGCACATTTCCTGCCACATTTTGAGTGGCATCTGTTTGTTTAGTGCTGAAATATGAAAAATAATATTTAGCAACTACTGGTAACACAATGTTAACAAGATTTAAGAGTACAGCTCTGTCTGTCAAAATGCAGATAAAAGACAAATCCTTCTATCTCTGTGTTTTAATCAGTCAGATCAGAGGTTTGATGAATATGCAAATGTGACTGTTTATACACTAGTTTCAGAGTGAAAGGAAACAAATTCAGTTTCATTATAGAATTGACAGCTCTGTCCTCTAAGATTAAGAATTAAAGCCCTACACACATTAAGATGATAGTGCTCTTTCTGCACAGCCTCTGCAGATTTTACTTTTCTATTTTTTAATACCCCTTTCCCTTATAATTGTTTGTCCCCCTAATTGGAATGATTAATAATTAATGCCGGTTCGTGGCTATGCAATAGTCATCTTTAGAACAAGAACTGTACTTAACCTACAAAAAGGGTTAAAAATTACTTCTTTTGTTAATTCTGTTTTTACTCTTGTCTGTTAGTTAATTTTTTCCTCCAAGTTTTATGCCACCATAGGAATCTCAATGGCCTGCTTCAATGATGGAAGCCTTTTATTTGTTTCAATGCAAGGTATACATATGATTTCATTTTGATGTTCAAAATATATGCTGTGTTTCTTTTCAAAGCCCCTGCTGCTGGAATCAGCAGCCTTCACAGCTTTCTGATTCTGAAACACACACTACAAGTTTAGACCAAATCAAATCTCAGAGAAAAGATTAAGAGTGTGGTACAAGTGCATTATAAAGTCTGAGAAAGAAAAAGTTTTTTAAAAAGAGATTTGAGCTATTATTTTTTAATCTGATGATTTCTGAGTTGACATGGGAGTGGCTGAGTCATGCTTGCCAAATCCCCTGGACAGGCAACATTTCAGAGGAAGATTATAGCAAAGTGAGCAGAAGTTCAGCCTTACCATTAACCCTCCTTCCTGCTCCAGAAGAACTATGACACTTCATTTTATGTGGCCATTAGGATCAGTACAGAGACCACTAAATCCTTTCTAATTGCAAATCACCAAAGCACGAATTTTTAAGAGAAAATAAAATAGCTAGTTTGTGAATGTTTTGCATTATTTTATCAAGAAAAGTTATCTTCTGGGTTCAAAACCCCATATTTCTTTCTGAACAGAAAAGCTCTTCCAGAAAGACAAATGGTCAGAGTACTCTAAAAATCACATTTCTTCAATAAAGCTGTTTCAGTTTCATCTTTTAATGTCTTTGGAGGTGAACTGATCCTACATAGGAATCTAGCATTGCCTTGGCTATCGCAAAGGAAATATTTTATGTGAAATTAAATTAGCATTTGTCTATATTTCACCATGCAAATACACTTCCTCCTGTGTCATTGATAGCAAGAAAACAAATATGTGTTTGTGGATACTTTAGCAAGGATGATGAATGATGCTCTGGGAGCATTTAAGGGTTGACACCCATAATGAATCCTGCTGGCAAGCATGCCTGGTACTTACCACGCTGAGCCCCAGCAGTTCCCTGCAGAAGTAGTCCATGTTCCTCCTCTGGAGGTTGTCCAGGTAGTGCTGAAGGCGAGTGTAGGTGTAGGGGTAGCAGTAGGCAAACTGGTAAGTGTCGTCCTCTCTGTCGAAGCAAAAAGCAAAGGACATGACATAGTTCTTCCTGTGGTCTGGGCAGCGGTAGTAGTACACGTTTTTGGAGGGGATTCTTTGCCTGAAAAACAAAAACATGCATGGATATGTATTTAATTGATGCATTTCTACACGGACATAAGAAATCTGAACCAAAAGGGCTGTGTGAGATTCAGATTTCCTCCAAAGTACAGGAGGTGTAAGAGTTTGAACTGTTCAGGAGATGCCAGAGCCTGTGTTTGGGAGCACTTGTGCACACCAGGGCTGTGACAGCTCTGGGGCCACTGTCACCACAGGGACTGCAGCTCTGCCCAAGCTGGCAGAGTCATCACAGCATCTTACAACCAGGGAAACCCATTCCCACAACGTGAAAAGGATGCATGGGGTGCCCAAATATCCTCTACTCAACTACCTGGCTGCTGCAATCTCCCACAACTCATAGCTCAAGCACAGGCTCCAGCCAAACCTACACCCTTTCTTACAGGCTCAATTCACCAGCACAGACAGGAGGCACAACTAATGAAGGAATGTCAGTATAAGGCAACACTGACAAAACTATTACTGAAATTCAGAACATCTATACACACACACACACACATATATGTGTATATATGGTCAGGATACATATTGACATCTAGCCAATAAATAGAACAAAAGATAAATTCTTGAGGTTAAAAAACGAACAAACAAACAATCTAAAAATCATACAAAAAACCTTCAGGTATGGAAAATAACCCTGTCTTAAAATAGAAAGCTAAGGAGAAAAGAATATTTGTTCCCATTCCAAATTGGACTGCTGCCCTCCTCAATATTTCTGGTTTATCTGACAAGATAGAAATGAATATACATGGTGGTAAATAATTATAATAAAGACATTTATGTCATTTTTATCAAGATGGTATCTCTTTGAGGAATAACAAATATCTGCCTGCAATCTCTCACACAACTCCAATTATTTTCTTACTTTACAAGAGAAATAAGTAATATTTTGAAGGGTGGGGGGTGAAACTTGTTCTATGGGTGAGAGATGTTGGCTATATCTGTTTGTATGCTTTGTTCATTTCTTAGGTGGAATTTCCAGCTTCATTCAGACAGGAATAGTCTCCAATCATGCCATGCACTTGTAATTTGATGTAAGTAACTTACCAGTTGTGTTTGGCAACAAAATGCTATGGTCCTGCAGACTCTACCTGATTCAATTACACAACCTTATAAACAGGTCTCATCTAATGATTGAAGCAGATCTCAGCTAAACTGGGATCATGGTGAGGGAAAAACATAACAAGATTTACAGACATAGCACCAGTAATGCATCTCTGTGTAATCATTCCGAGAAGCTGATCTGCTGCAGAGCCTCAGTTTTGGCCTCTCATTGCTAATATGGACTAGAGGACAAAACCCTCTCGTTATACACAGGTATATGTTTGCCAATTAGCAGCAGTTAACGAGTCTGACCAGCAAGACTCAGGATCTACAAAGAGAAACAGAAAAGAATTGAGATCTTCTTGAGAAAGGAAAATAAAGAACCAGTGATGCAGTTAATTATACTCAGAAAAAATAATTTATCTACCTTTTTTAATGCCCTGCTTCTTGAACATTCAGGGCCTCAAGAACTTCACCATCACGACTGAACATGAGCCAGCTGTGCCCAGGTGGGCAGGAAGGCCAATGGCACCTGGCTTGTACCAGCAGTGGTGTGGCAGCAGGACCAGGGCAGTGACTGTCCCCTGTACTGGGCACTGTGGGGCCACAGCTCGAATTTAGATTGGATTTATTTCTGCAATGAAAGGGTTGTCAAACATTGGAAGAGGCTGTCCAGGCACGTGGTGGAGTCACCATTCCCAAAGGTATTTAAAGGATGTGTAGATGTGGCACTTGGGGACATGTTTTAGGGGCAGCACTGGCAGTGCCAGCATAAAATTTGAACTCAATAATATTAAAGGACTTTTCCAACCTAATGAAATCTATGATTTGATGATTTTTTTTTTTTTTTGCTAAATAAGACACTTGCTCATCACTAAGATCCAGAAATTATATTTAACACATGAATATAAAAGACAGGAAAACAAACCTTTTATTTTTTTTAAAAGTATCAGTAGGGAAAAAATGCCACCAGCCATCTGCATGCAGCACTCTTACCTAATGGTTTTCTTCAGTATCTTAACATATTTCTATCATTCACCCTCACTCTGGAGTGCTATAGGACATCCCTCATTTGATCTCAAATCAAGCAGATGATATGGCAGTGGGTAAATGTATTCCAGCTCCCAGTCCTCAAACCGTAATGCAAGTTTAAACAGTATGTTGCTGAGTTGTTGAACTTTATTTGTTTCCAAATTAGCATGGGAAAAATAATAAAGGACAAGCTTCACTTTGTGCTATAAAAATTTCATGTAAAATGAGACCAATAGGAGGAAATTCAGGATTTTAGAAAGGCTAATGCTAATTGAAATTCATCTGCTGATAGTTAATGTTTAAATGACACATAGTTCTCCTTGGTTCAATAACTTTCTACTTTTAAGCAAGTTGAAGACAACTTTGTTAATGTATTAAAGGCACTTTTGATATTTCATTCCCTTTCCCCTTCATTATAAAAGCTAAGCATCTGTTTTATTATCCACTTTGACACATCACTTTATGGCTGCATTTGGCTATTATGGCTAATCTTGATGTCTAGGACATCTGGTATTGACATTTCACTATCTGGTGTCTGACACAACAGCAGAAACCATCCTCAGTTCCTAGGTTTAAATTCACCCTCCCAGGGCAAAAAGTGCCCAAACTCTTAATTCAAACCATATCTTCCAAAAATAATTATAATAGTACTCCTGTCAGTGCTAATCTATTTTTATCTCTCCTAGCACTTTGTCACTGCTAATCTATTTGTGAGTCATATAGAGAAAGAGAGTTAGCGTTTAGATACCAACAACACATCTTTACACACAGGAGCTTAATCAGATTGAGATCTTATCAGGGAATTAAAGAAGAAAAGAAAAAAGGGAGAGAAAAGGAAAGAAAAGAGACAAAGTGCAAGATATCACCAACCGAGTTTTTGATAACAAAAAGACATTGCTCAGTTCTTGAATTAACCTTTGTGTCCTAGACACACTATTGTTTACTCTTTCCCTTTTTTGTTCTATGCCTTCTGGAAAAGGACACCCACACACTGTGGCAGCAGCTGCTCCTATTAATTTAAAGCTATTACAAAAATTAAAATTAAACCCAATTACTTTGGCTGGTTTATAGCTGGGGAACGGCTTAGTCTGATTGTTCCCTCTGGTTATGGACAAAAACAATATTCCTACCTACAGGCAGCTGCCAGTGGAATACTAATGCATCTAGGGCCTGGCAGGAACAGATTCAGAATGCAGTCTAACTGCATTTCTTACTAAAGAAAAATATCTTATCATGGATCTGCAGAAATGCACCAACTTCTTACGCTGTGAGTCACAATGAAGCTGATTTGTAGTTAGAGGCAGGAAGGCAAAATGATGGTGGAAACCTTAATGCTCTGATTTGTCCCTTTGCATTTCCAGGCAGCTCACACTCAGCAATGCATCCTGCTAATTGATACACAACTGCCCGGATCTCTGAGCTCCTTAATGGTTAAAGGAGAAATTACCACTCCCAGTCCAAGTTCAGCCACAGAAAATAACATGCAAACATCTCATTTCCAGTCTGTTTTCTAGATGCATTTAAAGAAACGAAGCTTGATATTATACATCAGTTTGACACAAATTCAGAATGCCTACTTTTAAAGATAAGCACAAAACTCTTTCTGTCAAGGAAGAAGGAAGCACAGAAATGAGGAGTTTCTCTCTATTTTGATGCTAATAGTCCAGTGCCAAAAGCTCGAGCCTTTGAGTGTCCTCTCTCCCTGTCTGACAAGGCAGCACTCTCAAGCCAGTGGATTTGTTGCTCCAAGTGTGAGTGTGCATGTGCTTGCCTGTTCCTGTCTCCTTGCAGTCTGGAGTCAGGACATTTGCTCTGTTTTGGTACTGTGCCATAGGATCAAATTTGTCAGTGTACAAAAAGTAACAATCCAAATCGTAGTCCTTATCCAGTATTAAATATCTGATGACTTTAGAGGTCCCATGATTTTAGTCTTTGGCACTACAAGAGGCAGTAAAGAGTATAATAGAGAACTTCAAAAATTTTATCCTAACTATACTTATAATTAAAACATAATTTTAACTTCAACTCTAAGAATTTTCACTTTAAAATCAAACTTTGCTATCTCTCCTGATTCTT